GTTATTCTATTCTATTATTAGCATAAGCACCTAAGGGGTAAGCGAAATCGGGTCGAGTATCTTTTGTAGAGCATACAAAAACTATGAATATTTTAGTAGTATTTATACGATTTTAAAAATATCATAACATTCGAACTCAAGGCTCAACACTCGCAAACATATAAAATAGTTAAGCTCGTGCTCAGATTTAATAGGACAATTAACCTCAGTAGCTGACGTATAAGCCATGTGAATAGTATCTTTAACAGTGCAATCCTTTTGTTCTCAAGTTCATTTTAAGTGATTGTCAACAACAAGAATAACAACAACAACAACAACAACTGAGGGAGGAGAAACATGAAACACGAGTTCACTAAATGCAAATTTGCATACAAAAAAGCCAGGCAGCTTGTTGTTGTTTTTTGGTTGTAGTTAGTCATAATGAGCTGCACACTCGCACACACACTCACACGCACTCGCACACACACTTTGGCAGTTGAACAAATTTTGAAAAGCTTTTTACATTATGCGAAAATTTGATATGCTCTGTGTGTTCACATACTATATATTGTTGCCTTGTTCATTATGTATTTAATTATGCTTTTGTGCATAGTTATTACAAACACGCACACCCACAGCCACACTTACACACGTACACACACGAGCACTAAGCCACGCAAAGTTTTATGCAGCTAGTGAAAAAGTTTTGCCACAGTTCCGCCGTACCGCCCCGCCCCGCCCACAGCCACAGGCTGCGTCACTTGCCTCCGCGCCAAATGTCATTAACAATTTTTGTGAGCTGCCTCAACAGCTCCGGCAACAACTTGAAACTTTATGTGTTATAGTCTAACAAAATTATAGTTTAATATTTAATTAAATATTTTGCAGCTTAGCAGCGCTTATGCAGTGTTCCCCCCCCCCAAACACCCGACGTGAGCACCCTGCAAAAGGGGCGCTGCACAAATATTACAAGAAATATTACAAGCCGAACAATAAATACCCTTGTAGATGCATGGCTAACGGCTTGGCTGATATATGAGGAGATTTGTATTGCTCGCAAATGCTCTGCTTACTATTTCTAAAAAGCTTTATTTTCGATCAAAGCATCCTTTTCTACGTATAGAATATGGGGGTTTTTATCTAGCCTAATAAATATATAAAAGAACAGACATCTTGACATAACTGTAAGACCCTCAGCAAGGGTATGCATAATGTTGCATAATTAAATAATGTGCTGCTGGCAATAGACGTCATTTTGAGCCGCCATGTTTTGTGTGGTGCGTGGTGCGTGGTGCATGTGGTGCGTGGTGCAATTGCATTGCATAATTAGTTGCCAACTAGTTATTTAGTTGTTATTGTTGCTGCTGTCACAGCTGCAGTTCCATATGCCATTAGCCAAATCAATAAATATTTGATTATAATTGTTGATTAATTATTATTAGACCAAATATCCTGCATAAATTATATGACAGCAGCAACAACAACAACAACGAAAAAAACTGCATATTGCACAAATTGATATTGAAATTTGGCATGTGGGCGATTAGCTTTAAATAATAATTTGGCTTCAACTGAAATGAAGTCCATTCAAATATAGTTTATTAATTACAGTTTTGGCTTGAGGCAAAAAATGAAAACAAAATAGCCAATTGCCATATTATTTAACAAGTTTAATGGCAGAAATAATTGCTAATGAGCTGCAAGTAAAATTATTAAATCATTATTAAAAATGCTTATAAAACAATGTTTAACAAACAAAAAAAATTCGATTTTGCCTTCACTTATGACTTAGTTAATTTAATAAGGTCAACGAAATTTAATAAATGTCTTAAACAAAAATGTCTTAGATGACAAATTTTTATAAATATTTATTGACTTATTAATGAATGAATGTTTAATATTTCCGCAAATATATAAAGAAAATGTCATTTTAATTTATTCAAAAAAGAAACTTGAGATTCAAATAATATTTCTTGCATACCCTTTTAGGGGGCATTATAATTTTGTTATGAAATGTGTAATGCGTAGACGGAGACTTTTTTGACCCCACAAAATATATATATATTCTATTCTCAACAGCCGAGTTGATAAAGCCGTGTCCGTCTGTCTATCTGTCCGGCTGTCCGTCTGTTTCTATGCTAGTCTCGCAGGGTATCGTCTTGAAACTTTGCACAGGTTCGCCTTTCTGTTGTAGGCTGTACATATGACGGAAACGGCCATATCGGGCAATCGGTCAATCGCTCTTAAAGTAGGTTCTTGTGTAGGAAGTCTTCTATCTAGGAGGTTATTCAAACTTTCGTGTGCCACATCCTCACTTTCTTGTTTTTTTAATATATATCTGCTTTCTCTTACCTTATTTTACAAAATAATAATAAGCATATTTGAATTTATGAGATAAACTAAAATAGCATTCGAGCTGTTTATTTACCTTATTTTAATTATTCCTCATCCAACTTTATTGATTTACTTATCAATAGCGGACCGAAATATATATTTTCTTTTGCACATGGCTGCATATTGTTTCTGCTCCTGCTCCTGAAATATGTTTTCAATTCAGCAACCACAAGGTTCCGTATTTGATTTGGACCTTATTAAATTGTCGTTTTCCCAATTATATATGCTCCTGTCCATTACTAAACCGCTCCGCTCGATAGTCGTTGAGCAAACAGACGCAGTTATAAGCAAATGTGCGCAATTAGAAACATGCACAATGCTCCAGAGCATAAACTGCCAAGCGACCCACTTGCCCCAGCTTCTCAGGTGCTCCCCCTCTCCCAACCAATCACAGTTCAGTTACATTCAAAAACATGAACAATAACCGACACTCAAAATGTTGCAAATACACTTCATTAAATATCCAATGGGCAAATATCAATTTACCAGAAATAATTTAATGACATTTATGCTTATTATAAAGCTGACCACCCCCCAATTATCCCCCTCCTTGAGCCCTATGACAAGCGCAGAACAATTATTCAATGAGGCTGGCAAACCTGAATAGCCAGCTCTGTGGGCTTTGTAAACAGCAAAACACAATAATGTTCAATTGAAGTCCAAAGTGTTTTGATATGTGATATAAGCACTGCGAGCACAACAATAAGAACATGAACAATTGTTGGTCACATTCGGCCAATTTGAGTTGCAAGCCCTGCCTCAGTCGCCACTGCAACTGAGTTCGGCTAAGACCAGGAAATTTAATTAAGTGGGTGATTCAGGTGTGATCCAGGCGCATTTATGAAATATACATGCGTTCTCCAAACTGTTGATTACGATGATGGATGCTGTAAGCTGAGAGTCAAGAGCCTGGAAACTGCAACTGGCAGCAGTAGCTTATCCAAGCAAGTCGTACTTTGTAGAACGATTAAGGTTGCTACAAGACTTTCATATGTTAGCCATGGGGAATTCTTTGTTCTAGCCCTAATACATATACATATAATTACACCTACGGAAGCTCGAACTTATGGTCCAATCTTTATGGAAATATCATGAATATCAAATATTCTTTATCTGACTATACTATTATAGAATGTACATACCAGGTTTAGTGTATCTAAATCTTTTAATTCTCGAGCTATACCACAGTTGTCCTTTATATAAGCATAAATATTAAAAACAGACCTTAAAGAATTTATTGAATCAGTCAGCAGTTATAATCAAGAGTCAAGGATGTAAAATATCAAATTTTCTTTATGAAGAACGAAGCTGTATATCTATAACCAATTCCAAAGTCGCTTTCAAACTGATGCAACAGTAAGATGTACATAAAAATATTTAGTATTCAGAGCTTGCTAAGCAAATCCTGAAAAGTATTTCTTATTCAAAATAATAAAAAAAAAACTGGCCCACCACCATTATAACTAAATGAACTCCTTAAATAAAGGTAGATAACTCAATTTAGAGATTATTTGTACAGTCTATGAGGTAAAGAACAAAGCATGGATTCCATTTAATTCCACAAATGCGAATAACTTTTCTATGATTGCACAAAATGCCAGTTGCAAAAATACCTGAAGATTTATCTGCAATTTAAATGCATGCCACCTGGAATGTAAGCTTTACGGCCAACTGTGTGAATTACAACACGATTCCCTTTTGTTATGCTGACCAAAAAATGTCAGCATTTTAACTTTGGCTGGTAAAATTGACGCCCACCTGATGGGCCCGCCCATTTGTGGGATAAACAACGCCTCTGCATATACAGCATACACAATTAAATCGGGACAAAAGTGCAGCAAAGATCAACAATGCAGAAAGATAGAGTGCGGCAAGTGGGCGAGAGCGAGACAGAGAGAGCAAGAGTGCGGTAGAGGGAGAGGGAAAGGGTGTGGAGAGAGAGAGAGAGAGAGAGCGAGTAAGCCAAATGCTTTTAATTGAAAATATTTGCAAGTTTGACACTGCAATTGACCGCAATGCAACTGCAACGAGCTGCATGCATTTAAAAATTCACAAAAAAAAAAAAAATAATTAAGAGAAGTAGAGTATGCCCGAATAAAAGATGCCCTAAGTTGCGGGGTATAAAGTACGCTAAGCAAAATATATAGCAAAATGTCGTGCATAGTTTTCTTGGGTCTTGATAAGCTTCGGTGCTTAGAGTCCGATTCTTATTCAATTTTCAGAGCATAAGTGTGACATACAAAGTGCCTATATAGAAAAGTTCAAATATAAGTATTTTTTCATAGTATTCGTAGATTGCAAGGTATACTTATCTTAAATCTTAAATCGATAACTATCGCTACAACGAAAAAGAAATTGAAAACATTTTATATAAATATATATATATATTAAGTAGACTTTATTTTGGATACATGAAGATTGATAGGAACTAAGATTGGCTCCTTCTAATGTTGAGGATATATATTTATTGGAATCGAAGATATTTGCGTCCCTTGCATTCGCACAAAACCTATATAACCCTTTTGGTCCTTTTCTGTTGGGTGCAGGGAATACAGCAAAAAAATTGCCCAAGGCTTAAACTGAATAAATTCCCGTAGAATACAGAATGCCGGCAACAGTACACCGAATTGCAGTATCACAAATTTCAAAACCATTTATTGATTGTACATTTGAATATTTAATTGTATTTGCCGCCTGACACTTTCCCACTTGATGTCGACTGCCAAACATTTGCACCACTTGCTGCGACACTTGCACCACATTTTATGGGCCATCTTGTCTCTGTCCAGGTCCGGAGGCGGCAGGCTTGGGAATTTTTAAGCAATAATTTTGTCGGACTGTGCATAGTTTAATTAAAATTCTTATTCAACAGCTAAATGAATTTTCAACAACAAAATTGTCTTGTGTCGAGTACATTTTGCCCATTTAACATTTTACCTTAGCAAATTTGGTATTTAGGAGAATTTTTGTGCATCAACACGAAGCCCGAACAGTAATCAAATTATGTGCGCATACATTGAAATTAAGCTTGAATGTGGCTTGATTGCTTGGACTAGGCATTGCAAACATTTTAATGCAAAAGCTCGCTTTTCGCACCAGTTGAAAAAGGTGTTGAAAACCGCCAACCATGCGTGTTGAATTCGGATCTGGGATCTGCACATAGGTCGCGTATGCCCAGCGGGAAGTCGTTTACAGGCAGCTCGCAAAAACTCGCTTGGCTTGGTTGGAGATATTCTGAATAATACAATACATTTTCGTTATAAATATGCCAACTTAATTGTGAACAAATATTGTAGCAAAGGTTGCAATTAATTTGAACTTATTTCAACAGCTGAATGGAGTCTGCAAGTCTCATTTGATTCGCCTCTCACTAGTTTTTCATACATATGCGTGGCTAAGGTGTCTGTTCGTCGAACTTACGAGCAAGACATCGCTGGTTCTACGTCAGAATAAATTTTTTTACAATACGAATTGAATTCCCAATCCTTAACAGTTTTTTCATGACTTCAACAATTGTGAGAAAATTCTTATATCTTATTATTATCAAAAAATAAGGAAACAGCTATCAGGTTGAATTTTTGAGACTACAAACAATCAGAACAAATGATTGCCCACGCGTCGTATGTGTAATATTGGGTCACGTGTGAGCCTTGACTTATTGCGGCAAATTTAATTGTGGTTACCAACCTCCCCCACCCAATGCATTAGAAAAATCACTCAACGATGGCAAGAAAAATAACTACTTAAATTTAATGTGCCCAAAAGGCAGGCAAATCTTTAAGATTCTAATGCGGTGTCTAATGCCGACTGTGACTCGTCTGATATGTCGTAGGCGCTGGCAATTAATTAAGGCTCGCCAGGTTTGAGTTGGGCGCATTAAATTTGATAAGCATTTAAGCATGTTACTCGGCACTTCCGCTGGGAGATAAAGATAGAGGCCAAGGGACAGCTACACACACAAGGACACACTCGCTTATATGAGCGACAGTCAACTAATGCACAGCTGCAATGATTTATTATTAGGTAGCTGAATTATTCACGCATTCGCCGGCGCAAATAAAGATTAATGACGGCATTTCAGAATTTTGCACGCCCAGCGACGCCTGTCAGCCCGTCTATTTAACTGTCTCTGTTTCTGTCTCTGTCTCTGCCCAGCTGGCTGTGTGCTTCCCGCCGCCAGCTAGCCGAACCCTATGCGGTTTGTTTTTCAGTGTACCGGCGCTCCTTTGTGCAGATTTCCGCACCCCATCATTGCATATAGACCAGCTTGCCACGCCCAACCACACACATCCGCCCTCTCACACACACAACACACGCGCCATCGCCATCGCCATCGCAATTCAGTTGTGCGTGAAATTTATGCATATGTATGTAGACGCGTGTTGTTTTTCCAACAGCTCTGTAGTCGCCCTCTGGCAAGCCCATCTCTCATCCAATCCCCGCTCTGTGATACCGCGCCAGCAACTAGGTTCGGGCTCTGTTTGATCCATGCTATGTAAATTCTTTTCGGTCGCACTGTGGCTTAACCTTTGACGCTGTCATTTGCATGCGGACAAAAACAAGACTCATTAGAGTCTGGCAACAGGTTACATAGCCTAAACGAGTTTCGTACTGAATAGAAAACTTAAAACTAGAACTTTTTATTTCTGGTGATATATTATACTGAATTATAGTATCTTTAACGTGAATGCAATCTTAGTTGAATCCAACTCGAAAAACAACGAAGAATGTTCTTCTAGTACGATATACCCTTTTTTCTCTGTTTCTCCCCTCCCTTTTTAAAGAACTTCGGTACTTATTATCCGATCTTTACCAAAGACCATGACTAGACTTTTAGAAATACAATTTGGGTGCGAACGAGAGGATTTCCCCCAAAAGTAAAATAATCTGAATATTTGTATGCTATCGCGGACCTACATACTACATTTGAGGTCTCTAGTTCTTTTGTGTGTCTGAATATGCTGAAAAATCAGAATTTTGATATCGATTTTTATCGATTATTATCGATTTCTTGGAAGCGATTCGGGCTATCACTTACTCTGCGTCTGTCTGGAATTGAGGCATCCGAAAATAAGTATCAAACAGAGGAACAGTTGTTCTTCTTAAAGCAACTTAATTTTCCCCTCACAATTAGCTTTTCTTTCTTCAATATTTCAATCGACATTTTTCAAAGTCTTGCCTACCTGCAGTTGATTTTCGCACATGTTGCGAGCAACTGTTAGCCATCATTCAAACGGAATACATGGCTATTCCATTTGGCTTCTATTTATAAAGCTTGTCTAACCCAATAGCCGCTCGTCGGCTCAGCCTGCTCAAAATCTAACGAGCTGAATGTGACTAGCTCAGCCCCTGGAATACCTGGGATTTATATGCTATTTACACAGCTTTCGGCTGTCCAACAACACGCGCGCCAGGCACGGCCACAACTCAAATCCATAGCAAGAGCCTACAAGTATTGGGGGGAAGGAAGGCTTCCCCTCAGCTCCCTCAGCGACTCCAAAGTGGCCCCGAATGTCGAATGGGTTAATGCCCATTCGACCCACTAGAGTTGACCTTTTTGCCATTGTCTGGGCACGTATGAAAGGGCTAAAAATGTGACACGCCACAGACTGTGCCCAAAGCTGGCTGAGATTCAACAGACAATTTTGGCGCACCTGTCGGGTAGACTGAGATTTGAGGCTGAGCCTCAGACGGTGGTCCCAGTTGAGGTCTGCAAATACGAACTAGGAGCTGGGGGCTGGAAGCTGCGAGCTGGGGGACGGCGGCTTGGGCTCAGGGAATGTTATTATCTAGACACATGTGTAACGGGCTTTGTTCTCGCCCCTTGCACAGAATGTATTCAACTGTAACAACAACGAGAGCAAAGCGGCTTTCTGTTTTCCCTGCCACGCCCACACACACACACACACAGGGAGAGAGTGGGAGTTGCGCTGCGTGTTGCTAATGCATGTTGAGTCCAGCTTAAGACACAATTTGAGTCCTTTACCAAGAGGTTTCGTTTGATGTGTGCCCAAGCAACCGTCCAATATCCATTTAGCAACACGTTCGTATTCACCCAGTTGGCTAAATGAAACGGGATACATATGTTTTTAGGGGCAGATCCCTTGTGGAGACTGGGCATTTTCCTTATGTACAAATAAAAATGCAATGTTAACGTTAGAATTCCAATTAGGGCTCACCCAAAGCCCTAGTCAACACTCTCTTAATGCACGCAACTTGTAATTCTTAACTGGTTTAAGCGCAAATGAAATATTTGACAGCTATACAATTTAACAATTATTATTAACAATGAATTAAGCAATAAATAAAATATAGATTATTTACAAATCTAATAAAAGTGAATTTATACAAAGCAAAGTATATAATAGTACAAGTATTTAGTACAAAGCCATATAAGTATTATATATGTGTGCGTGTGTTCATGTATGTGTGTGTGTGTGCATGCATGTTTGTGTGCATTTATGAATGTGTGTATGCATGCATGTTTGTCTTTTAATACCAAATGTAGACCAAGCTTATTTGGCGCTATGCTGCCAATTTAAACAAAACGGATTTCTACCAAGTGCTCTCCTCCTCGATTCTCAAAAAAAAAAGTAGGCTCCGCAGTTTTTCACGATAAGCTAGTAGTGCAGGTGTTTTTTTTTTTTGGTGCTATGTTTTGTGCATATGTATATACATATGTATGAATGTAAGTATGTAAGTATGTAAGTATGTATGTATGTATGTATGTATGTATGTATGTATGTATGTATGTATGTATGTATGTATGCATGTATGTATGTATATATGTATGTATGTACGTTTGTATGTATGTATGTATGTATGTATGCATGTATGCATGTCTGCATGTATTTATGTAGGTATGCATGCATTCATACATGTTTGCCTGTATGCATGTTTGCATGTATGTATACATGTATGCTTGTATTTATACATGTATTCATGTATGTACGAGCCGGCATATCAGATCCCGTCTAGACGTGCAACTTCATCACACAAGTAACTACATTGAGAACTTCACCATCCTAGCTCTCACGGTTTAGGGTCTGTCAGCCCGTCAGTCAGTCAGAACAAACAGTTTTATATATAGAGATAAAATATATGAATTTTCTTAATACCCACTAAATGTCGCTTGAGAAGTGGACTAAGCTTCGGCAGACTGAGCACGAAGTTTAGGGTTCGGCAAATAAAGTAAATTGCTGCAAATGATTTCATGGCTCGGTGGGACTAGTGATTCATTTTTTAAGCTCAGCCCAATGTAATAAACCCATAAAAGTTGTGGCTCCACCGAATATAAAGAATTCACATTTTTCCCCAATGGGAATATCGAAAATTGATGAAATTGATTTCCACATTGGTAATTTTGTAACGTTCTCGAAGTTTCCAACTGCCAACTGTGCGCTGCCTGCCACCTGCCACCTGCCGCAAGCTGGTTGACAACTGCAACTGGCTGACCTCCCACTAAATATTTGGCCATCCATCTTGGCCAGGCCAGAGGCCGAGCGCACGTCGCGTCTATTTGTTGTTGTTGTTGTTGTTGTTGTTGTTGTTGTTGATGTCTATGCTCCCTGCGGGCGCAGACGTCGCCATCAACACGAAGCAGCCATTTTCCAGTCTCAGTCGCAACTTATACGAGAGATTTTTGTTTTTATTTTTTTTTTTTGCTTTCTGCTGCTGTTGCAACAAATTGTATGACCTGGCAAAAAACCAGTGAGAGCGGCGGGGGCAGGACTATACTAACGACAGTTTATAAAATATTCAGCTTGGCTGCTTGGGGAGCCTCAAGTATGCCAGCTCCATGCCTGCTTAGCTGCCGACCCCCTCTGCCTGGCTCTCGCTGCCTGTCTGTTTGCCTGTCGCTCGCTAAAAGTTTTTAATGAATTTTTTAGGAAGCTAATCGAAGTCACTTTTAGTTGAAAAATGCATTAACTAACGTGCACCACGTGCCGTAAGCGCAATATTCGAGCAATTGAAATCAGACGCTTAAATATTTTTGGTACTTACGACTCATGCTGCCGGGTTGTGTTTATTAGAACAATCACAGGGGCAGCTCATAAGGTTTTAGTTTCAGATTCCAGCAATTCACTCCCTCATTTAGGCAGCTCAAGTTGGGCCTTTGTGCTGCCGCTCAGAAGTCCTGTAGGATTCGTCAAATATTAATATCTCACTCTTACTAAATGCGGCTGAAATTTTTGAGCCCTTATTAGATTGCTTTTTAAGCAGTTTCATTAATGCAATTCAAGTTGAGACTACTTAAGAGCATGATTTATAAATGTAGGATTACATCTTGTGCCCACTTTTAGCAAGACGAGCATGAGTGACAAACCTGGATGCATACACACAGCTGATTTTGCTTACTTTGCCGTTTTTAGTCGTTTTTAGCAACGAGTTTAAGCAGCGAACAGAACAGCAAAGTGAGCTGTTAAGCTTAAGAAAGATGTTGTATACAATTAACAACATTTGAGCTTGAGCTAGATTCCACTCTCTAAGTTGATCGATTCAGCTCGTTGCATCCTGAACAAGAATATATATACTTC